AGCATCCTTCAGGATTGAAATTTGAGGCTTGGATTTTTCAGTTCTTTCATCTTGAAAAATTCAGAGTGAGTTCTTCCTTTTTTGTTTCCTAACTCCAGCTCTTTGCACATTCTGTTCTAATACTTTGGTTTTCCTTCTCAAGACACCCGTTGAAGTCTTCTTCTCTCTTTTATTTTGGCATCTCTTTCCTTTGTTTTGACTTCTCTGTATTCTAGTGCAATTGTTAGAGTCTCTTCAGACATTGATTCTGGTCTTTCTTTCACCCCCTGTTTTCGCAATAACCTTTTGCTGTTTTCTCAGACAATAGCCTTGATTTCATCCCACAGTGCATCTGATCTTAGATCATTAGTGTTCTGTGCCTCAAACTTATTTTTGAGTGAGCTTCTCCACTGATTTTTTTTTTCTCCCCCATAGTTATAGTCTCAGTCCTGTTAATCTGTTAGGGGAGATCTATGTGTATAGTTGCTATTTGCTTTTTTAAAAGAGGGTTTTTTCATTGCAAACCACTAATTGTAAAAAATGCATTCAATCAAGAATCTCATTTATGACAACTATCTGGCCAGCTGATGAGAAGAGATCCATATTTGTTCCCATTTCCAAAAATATGATCCAACAGAATGTGAAAATGATACATAATGATCATTATAATCACCTGCATGTAAAATCTTGCTGAATATTGTTCAAAAATGGCTGTAACAGGGGGTGTAGCTCAGGGATAGAGCATTTGACTGAAAAAAATGGCTGGAACAGCACATCAACAGAGAATTGCCGGAAATTCAAGTTGGATTTAGAAGAGGTTGTGGCACCAAGGATGTCATTGCTGATGTCATACAGATCTTTGTTGAAAGAAGAGAATACCAGAAGGATGTTTATTGGTGTTCTATTGATTACACGAAGGCATTTAACTTTGTGGATCATAGCAAATCATGGCTAACATTGAGAAGAATAGAAATTCCAGAAGACTTAATTGTATGCATGCAAAACCTGATCTTTGACTAAGAAGATGTCCAAACAGAGCAAAGGGAGAATGCATGGCTTAAAATCAAGAAAAGCGTGTATCAGGGCGAGGCTGTGTCCCTTCTGCATACCTATTGTATGCCAAGCAAATAATCCAAGAGCCTGGACTTTATGAAGAAGAAAGTGGCATCAAAATTGGAGGAAGACTACCTGCAATATGTAGATTAAACAATCTTGCTCATTGAAAGTGAAAAGGATTTGAAATGCTGTTGCTGACGATCGAAGACTACAACCTTCGGTGTGGATTACACTTCAACATCAAAACAGCAGAAGTCCTCATTCCTGGACCAATAGGCAACATCATGATAAATTGAGAAAAGTCTGCAGTTATTAACAATTTCGTCTTTCTTGGATTCACAATCAATCCTGTCAGCAACAAGAGTAAAAATTTTTTTTTTTTAAAAGTATTGCATTGGGTACATCTTCATTCAAGGACTTTTCTTAATCCGGTTTATTTGATGCCAAATAACCATGGTTTCCCTACCCCTCCAAAAATTAATCCAGACTGTATAGTTTCTTAAAGCAAGAACTTCCCTTTAGTACCTATGTATGCTCTATGTGTCCAGGTCATTTATGTGGAAAATATGTAAGCAACTTTTAATATTTACCTCTTTGTGCTGTTCAAAGAACCACATATATCTAACATATAAATAATATATGTTATAACATATGACATAATATATGTCAACATATATCTAACTCTAAGGTGTTAAAGAGGAATGATGTCTTTTTAAAGACTAAGAAGTTGCTTCTTATCCAACCCATGGTCTTTTAAATTACATATTATGTATCTAAAAGTTGAATAATGATTAAGGATGACAGAAGAAAAATTGATGCCTTTGAGTTGTGGTGCTGGAGAATAGTACTGAATATCCCAGGGACTACTAAGATCTATGACTTGCAAGTGCAGCCAGAGGACCCCTCGAAGGTAGAGATGATGAAGCTTTGTCTCACATATTTTGTGCTTGCGAGTAGTATGGGCTTTGGAGAAGGACATCATGCTTGGAAAGGCAGAGGGTCAGCAAGAGAGACAGAGACCCTCAGCAAGATAGAATGACATATTAACTGTACAATGAACTCAAGTATATCAGAGATGATGAGGATGGCATAGGATAGGGTGCGATTTAGATCCATGGATCACTGTGAGTCACAACAATGTGCGATAGAAACATGAAGATAATACTTTTATTAAGTTAAATTAATTTATGCTATTGCCATGGAGAAAGTCTGCTGTTAGGGACCTCTCCAAAGTACTGAAGAGCAGTGGTGTCTCTCTGGAGACTAAGGTGCATCTGATACAGGCCATGGTCTTCGCAATCACTTGTTATGCATCAGAGAGTTGGACAATGACCAAGGAGGATAGAAGGAGAATTGATGCCTTTGAGCTGTGGTGCTGGAGAAGAGTATTGAGGATACCATGGACTGCTAGGAAAACAAACAGATTTGTCCTGGAAAGGGTTAAACAGGGTGGCTCCTTGGAGGCAAGGATTCTGAGGCTCCGTCTAACATACTTTGGACATGTTGTGAGGAGAGACCGGTCCTTGGAGAGGGACATCATGCTTGGGAGGGTGGAGGGACAGCGCAGGAGAGGAAGGCCCTCTATGAGGTGGATTGATTCAGTGACTGGGATAATTGGGATGGGAGTGTCAGAGACAGTGCAATTGGCACAGGACAGAACAGAGTTTAGGGCTGTTGTACATAGGGTCGCTATGAGTCTCAAACGACTCGACGGCACATAACAACAACAACAACATAGTAATCTGGTTAATAAGGAAGCTCTGATCGCTTAGCATCTAAGATGTTGCAGCCGACAGACAAGCAATTCCAATCCGCTGGCTGATCCAGGGGAAAGGATGTGATCCCATGTGATCTACAACCTTGCAATACCTGCCGGAAGGTCAGCTATGAGTCAGCTCCTCCTTGTTGGTGCATACCAAGGACAGCAACAATCTGGCCAATTAAAGATGGTTTAAAGTCTTTTGAAGAATGTTTCTCCATATGATTCCATTCTTTACCCACTAGAATATATCCCTTCTTCTCCCTGATATTCAGCATATTCCACTATGGGAAAAGGATGTGAAATTTGCCATTTCATAGCTTATTGGTGTTAATTCGTTATGAGCAAATCATTTCATGCTTTGCATCTTTGATTGATGTCATTTGCTTTCAGTTATACAAGGGATGTAGAAATTAGGACTAGGGTTTTGAAGTATTATTAATTTTGCTGATAAAATCTATGCATTCCAACTCTGGTGCGTTATGAGTTAAGGACTCTAGTGGTCCGATTATGGCAGGACTGATTTCTTCGGATTCACACAGTTCTAGCTCTGTCCCCACCAGGTGGCAGCGTGTACTGAAACTGGGATAGGAGCATCCCAAGAAGCCTGAGAGGGTCAAAGTGTGAGTGGGTGAGAGATATGTGTTCTCCAGGTCACAAACGGGTTAAGAAGGTTAAGAACAGCTACTTGCAAGTTCAGGAAAACACATCTGTGTTTCAGCATAAATACGCCAGGGTATAGATGTGTTGGCAATTTTGTATGGTTCTTTGACAGAGCAAAGAGGTAAATATTAAAAGTTGCTTACATATTTTCTGCATAAATGACATGGACACATAGAGCATATATACTAGATATACGAAAGAGAAGTTCTTGCTTTGCAAAACTATATACAGCCTGGATTAATTTTTTTGAGGGTGGGCAAACCGTGGTTATTTGGCATCAAATAACATAATGCTTTACTGGTTGTTAAATGCCAAAGGCAGCTTTTACAAAGGCAGAGCCTTCCTGCACAAAGCATTGCTTCCCTGCCCGCTCAAAGAGTCAGGGTCTTTCCTGAGGATTTGCTCGCCTGCACTGGATTGCGGAGGACCACAGCCGATATTCTCAATATTCGTAGGCAGAGCAGACACGGGTTTATTTTGTCTTTTCTTCCACCCCCTATTCGCACCCCCATATGAACAACATTGCAACACTCCCTGGAGCAGGAGGTTGGAAGGGGAGCATTTCGGCATACAGGAAAGGAAAAGTGGGGGGACAGGGAGGGAATGGCATGGGAAGGAAGAAAAAGGAGGGAGGGAAGAGGGAGAGAAAAGGGGACAAATAATGCAAAAGATGATAGATGATGAAGGAGCGAGCCAAAGAAGGAAAAAAGAGTGAACAAGAGAGACCATCCTTGTCTCGGGCTCGCGGGGGACAGAGCTAGAACCCGCATCAGCGCCCTAGAATACCCTAGAGGCTACGTATTGTTTTCCTGAAAGCCCCAAGCTAAGCTATTCCAAGAATGTTTGGCAAAGCCCTTTGGGGAACGGTGAGGTTGGAAGCGGCGCGGGGTGGGGGCGTGAGCGGGGACGATAGACTTTCTCAGCCCCCCCTTCCCGAGACGTGGCAGGATCTGGGAGACCTAGCGGAAACCTTCAGGTCACCCCGGGAACTGCTCCTCGGCTGGTCCTGCCGCGGCGCGGGGGAGGGGGCAGTGCGCCGAGACGCGCGGGGCGCGGAGATGTGCAAGTGGCGAAGGCTGGCGGAGCGCAGGCGGGAGCAGCCGCCCAACTCCCGGCGCGGGATCTGCTGAGAGGCCACGGTGAGTCTCTCCGGGTGCGGGTCCGAGGGATGCCCGGGGTCTCCGTCGCGCGCGGGGCCCGGCCGAGGCAGGCCCGGAACCTGCCCCCG